AACTTAGATTATGCATGTACACAATATTTATCGTTTATTAATACATAATTGAATTTTCCTAAACAGATATGAAAAGCGATTAAGTATTATGACCAAACTGCATTCTCCTAATAGAATCAATTAAAATTTCACTAATTGATTCAGTGATAATATTATTGATTTGCAATGAAAAAATGGCTCTCTTAAAGTTAGGTGTCAGTAACAGATTAGTTTTACTAGGAAACAGTTAAAACTTCGCTGATTTACTTAGTAACAAATAGTTTAATTTAGAATTAGTAACAATATCACTGAATGCCATTAACATATTAGTTTTAAAGTAATTGATTGTGAAAGTTTCAATGGTTAAATTGATAGAGTGCCCGCTTGGTAATCAGAGGGTTCCAGGTTTCAGGTTCGAATCCAGTCGGAGATGATTTCTAACACAATGGATTTTTTCTACAAGGTAATACTAAGACAACATGGAAAATAACCAAGAAAACTTACTCAATAATATAAATAAAGAATCTAAGTCATTTTTTTTATATTATAAATGTCATTTTGCTATCAAATCGTGTTGCGCAGATCTTGCTTCATATTTGGCGTCAATTTGGTCTCAAGTTATGTTATCAAGCTTTGCTCGGTTTTTGGTAGCAATTTGCTGTTACTTTTTGTCGACAAACTTTGGCAACAAAATTGAAGCCTAATGCGGGCACAGTTGATGCCAATTTGTTGAATAGTTTTGCTTAAAATTGCTGACAATTTGCTGGCAAATTGCGAACAAATTGTTTACTGGGCATAAATCGGTAATGCTTTTATCTACGTAAAATAATTTCAATTCTTCCAAGGTAATCATAAAATATGTTTTACGTTTATCCATATAACGATACGGCGATTGTAACCATAATCGAGACGTAAAAATAGCTTTTGGAGAAGAAAAAACAATATTTTGTAAATATGTTAAAAGCGATTCCCTTTTCGGCCTCGTTTGCTCGTTCCCGGACGTGGATTGTCCATCATGAGAATATCCTGATCTTTTATCTCTCGTTCTTTGTCTATCCAGTGACGTCCACGCTTTATTGCTTGTACTTCCTTGTTTGGTTTGTGAAACGTTGTCTTCTTGAAATCCGCCCGTCCTTCAAGCGCTCGGTCACATTCTTGATCAATTTCATAGCCAGGATATGGATGTGATCTATAGGGGAGTTCACTACTAACTTGGTTCTGTAATCGTAAGCTTTCCATGCTTCGTTTAAATGCATTACCTTGGAAACTTGAGCGATATTGACCTAAGATACATAAATGTTTATGATTTATATTAATTATAAACAAATATATATGTAGGATTATTTGCTCAAAAAGAAAAATAATCTCCTCGTGTCTTCGATGATGAACAGAATAAAATACACTTTATTAATAATTGAAACATAACTGAGCAGACAATTGAAATATAACGGCTAGGAAATTACAAAAGTCAATCGACTCAGAGCAGCGGATAACGACTGTTTTATTTTGCTCGTCGAACGGCCCCGACAGCGCCGCAGCTCGCTTATCTCTTGTTTTCCCATCGTCAAGGACACAGCGAGTATTCCCACTTCTGTCAAATCTACCGGCATCGATCACGGGCTTTTCAATAATCGCTCGACTCAAAAAGAGCATTTCGCGCCGCTCCCAACGCCGCGTGGTCCAACAAATCAACATCCTACATATATCTTACCTCTATGATAGCGTAACCAAACGTTTCCAGATATTTCAATTGTATTAATTCGTCGTTCTTTTGAATCGAGATACAAGAGGAGATTGATCCAATGTTGGAGAGTCCAAGAGCTGGTGCTAGAGATTTTTCGATTATAGCGATGTCGTCTTCCAGACCGTTTAGAGAAAAGTCCTCCTTCGATTTCTCGGATTCGGGCACATCTACATGTATTACTTGCCCAACTGCAGTCGTGGATGATGTGGTAGTGATTTCCGTGGTTTCCAACGATAAAAATTGTTCCATAAAAAGGTCGTTGTAAATTTCTACCAAGACAGTCATCAGATTGGTCGAAAGGAGCGGTTCTTTCATAAATCGAATGTACAATTCGGTGTCGTAGATTGTGCTGACGAAATTCGTTAGAGAGCACTTCAGATAACTCTTCAACTCCTATTGTTTCGCTGTCAGTACTTCCTTCAACGTAAATCCGAATTCCCCGATCATTTGTGTTTCTTCGTCTGTCAAACGATCTTCGTGTACTGCTTTCTCCAGAACTTGTTGCCACTGATGTATCATGTCTAGATTCACCCAGGATTTTCGTAACAATGTCATAAATTTCACATTTGTATTCTTCGACATGATTCAAATATGTATTATATACTTAATTGACGTGTTCTTGATTACCAATATGATATGATTCTATTATATAGCTTTCTGTTTCTCCACAATATTGTTCCAAACGGCTACTAAAATACGTACTTGTTGAATGATTGTCGTCTTCAATATCTATATCTTGTGAATATAGTTGCTCTTCAGTACGTAATTGCCGTAATAAACGAATATGCTATTGATTATTTCAATCAATCGGCGCTTTTATATCCTTTCCCCGCTACAACTCCCGTGTAAATCTGTCTTTAACGCTACATCACTGCAACAGCACTGCAACCGCTATGCATCCGCCATGCATTACGGCGCCGGCTTCGCTGGCGCCATGTTATGCGGCCTGCATAGCGATTGCAGTGCTGTTGCAGTGATGTAGCGTTAAAGACAGATTTACACGGGAGTTGTAGCGAGGAAAGGATATAAAAGCGCGCCGATCGATTGAAACAATCAATAGTTTCTTATGGCTAGACCATCACACCATTTTGATACTGGTTTTCACTTTACTTCATTATATAATATAATGAAATTTTTATGCAACATAGAGTATATGTATGTATATATACATATATACACATACATATAAATGTACGTATAAAATATAGATATAAAAAACTCGGATCCAAACATATACATAGAAAACCGACATAGACGATTTTCGTCCTGAACTGCTTTCTCGAATACTTGTTGCCACTGATGAATTGTATTCAGATTTACCCAAGATTTCCGCAATAATGTTATGAATTGCATATTGCAATTGTTCGACATGGTGATGATAGAAAGCGTCTATTTGTAAACCGTGTTCTTGATTACCAGCGTAATATGATGCGTGAAAATAATCTTCTGCTTCTTCGCAATATTGTTCCGATCTACTTGAAAAATACGTACTTGGTGTGTCCGGTCGATCTATATTTTCTGTTCCTGATCTTTGTAAATTCCACTTTGTCACTTTATTCCACGGAGATTTATAATATATATTATCCCAATCCCAAGGATTGTTCCGATCCCAATCCATAAGGATGGTATATTGATTTTCGTATTGATCGCGCAGCTTTATATATGTATCTTCTTATACCCCCTCCACCTTCCGTGTAAATCTCTAAATACGCTACAACTCTGCAACCCTGCAACCCTGCAACCCTGTTACGGCCATGGCTATCGGCGCCGGCTTCGCCGGCGCCATGATGCCGGCCTACAGGATTGCAGGGTTGCAGGGTTGCAGAGTTGTAGCGTATTTAGAGATTTACACGGAAGGTGGAGGGGGTATAAGAAGATACATATATAAAGCTGCGCGATCAATACGAAAATCAATATACCATTATGGCACATATACAACGTTTATATAGTATTGCTCAATATGTTAACTTATTAAATAGACAAACATTACGATTACAAGATATAGAAACATTGCCGTGGTTATTACAACGTGATTTGTTGTTTGCTTGGATAGAAAACTTAGAACAACGTAATATACAAATAACATGTCTTCATTGTTACGACGAAGATATGGCGGCAGTTGACGACAGTGCTCCCCGCTTACTAGCACGGTATAATAGTGAGGAACGTATCATAGATGCCAGATCGGAGACTCAGTAAGTATGCAACAGCAAGTGGAGGGGATACGCACACAGGCGACAGCCGTGTCCGTGTGCGCTCGGCGCTTCGGCCAATGGTTGGTCGGCTGTCGCCTGTGTGCGTATCCCCTCCACTTGCTGTTGCATGCTTACTGAGTCTCCGATCTGGCATCTATGGAAAGTATATCGGAACGTCAGTATGCCGCGAGTACCGGGACATCGATATCTCGGACCGGGCAACACGCTGAACGAAGGCAATCCTATTGATGAAGACGATTTAATAGCCAAGATACATGATATTGAATACGAATATTTGCCAGAAACGATAAACCAACACGGCGAAATAGCAATAGATAATTTTTTGAATAATTTTGTACAAACAGGTAATTGGCATTCTATTCTTGGTGGTCTTGGTTTGCAAGTTAAAAGACAATATGAATCTGTGTTTGGTCAGCAATATCCAATGCCGCACGGAGGTCAAGACGATTATACTGGAGCTTTAAGAGAATTATCGAAATTATATAAAGAAGAAAAAGCGAGAGGAACTAAAACGAGTTGGAAAGAGTTTCAACAATTGTATTTTGGAGATTTGTTGCGAGAACAATTAGATCGTAGAGTTCATGGCGGATCTACCAGTGATACAATCAACATACAACATTACGGAGACAATAGCGCTGGAACTTCTTCTTCTGCGAAACGAGCTCGTTCCGACGTTAACGCAACACCTGAAAGAAGTGGCGATCAATCTTTATTTGACGACGATCTTGATAATATTATTAATTCCACAATGGCTGATATGGACGTGGAAACTATGGAAACAATCGCAAATCCGTCGCAGGGCGGCGGAGTTACGAGCAACTCGAATTCTGGACACGGATCCGGACGAAGTGCCGGTGTTGGAACGATCGTAAATATTCCTAGAAATCCTAAAACGGAATATATAACTCGTTCGTTTTCTAAACATTGGATATTTTATTCATATGGCTTTATTAATAAACAAGTTGTTGGAAATGATGAAATAAATTATATTACTCCATTAATGTTAATTCCCGTTGATTGTTTGTTATTATATATGGATCCTTGTGAATTTATTAATTTAAGAGGCAAATCCGTAGCCGTTCATTGTAATGCCAGAATACGTCCTTTGGGTTGTCGCATGAATTTTCAAACAAACGCGTCTACTACATCGTGGGCAACATCAGAATTTGTGGCAATTGGACAAAAAGCAATTGGTTTGAATATTGGTATTCCTGGTCGTAATCGTGAATATAGTCCCGAAGCTTCAAAGCCTATGTCTGTATCAACACATACTTTTCCAGATATGGCAAAATTGAATGAAAAATTATATGGTGCAACTAATGGTACGAGCGGAGCACAATTAGTTCCTCGACATTTAAATATGTATTTTACTCCAATAACTGCTGTTCGTAATCCAACAACTGGTAGTGATTTTAGACATAGTAATAGACCACCAAAAATTGATCAATATGTTGATCGATTTTTAATTAATTCAGCAGTTGGACAAACAATTATTGACTATGAATATAAACCACGTATGGGAATATTACATGACGTGCGCTTTAATCAATTAAAACATAAATTTAAAACGGCGCCACTATCACAAGCTGTTCAATTAAAACCTACTGTTACTAGCGGTCAAAGTGTTGAAGGCATAATAGAAGAACATTCATACGCAGATGCTGATTCTAATGAAGTGACACAACTACCTGGATGGCAAAATAGTTTCTTGTCTTCTATTGCACAAACAATAGAATTGCAAGAACATTACAATTGGGATAAAGGCCACACACATGGAAATGTGCAACCACAAGTGCATGTTGGTTTAACTGCTGTGCCGGCTATAAATCCAGGAACCGATACGACTGATTATCAGAATACAGCGTGTTATTGGGCAGTTGATACGCAAATAGTAATTCACGAATACGTTAATAGTGCTTATCATTACGGTCAAGGAATACATACTACTAATCCTGATTGGTATCCTCCAAAATATACCAAAAAATATTATTCTGGTTTATCATTTTCGCATCACGCTAATTTAGTAAAAGATGCGCAATATGCAATATCTCCGGATTACCCGATGTATGAACATCTTACTCATTTTGATCATATTACATCTGGCAACGTTGCGCGCTTGCCCAGTCAACGAGACATGGACGACGACAGTAGACGCAGACAAAGAAACCGGTTTATTGCCGATGAGCGAAAAGAAAGCGGCAGTGGAGCCAGTAGAAGTCATATCGACGAATCTTCCTTCGTCCATCTTGAAATACCTACCACACCTGGATTACGAAGAGCCACTCGATTTGAATAATACAACAAATATATCTCCGTATAATCGCTGTAAGTTATTTATTATATAAGAATATATTCTATTTGTTAATAGTGCGTTTGTTTGTTCAGCGTCGTCGTTTCCATGGATAATCCCGCGCACAATTCTAGACGACAGCAACAAAATCAGCAGACAAAGCCAGTCAATAGAGTTGAACCTTTGTACTTCAGACCTAACACAACAAATCCGTCATTGCCACAAATTGAGGAAAATGTTCACCAACGAGCAACGCAAGCACCGACGACGTCATCCAATATTACGCAATACGACTTTCGCAACCAGCAATTAATTATGCCGGTTCAAGCTATTCGACCTCTTACAGATAAACAAAAAGAATTGGTGAGGAAAGCGATACAATCTGTAGATTTATATTTAGAGTGATTCATTTAATAAAAGATATTTATCACTACATGTAAATGCGTAATTAAATTCCTCCCAGTTTAATATATTCCAACGCGCCAATAAATAAGGAAATGCAAGCGGATACGGTTTTTTTTCTAATTGTGAAAGTTGTTGACATTGATACCATTCGTATTTAATTATACGAGTTCTAAATGCTTGATTTTTTGGAAAGCAATCGGAATTACTTAAAACAATTATTGGCGTTCGTTGAATAATACCATCACCTTCATATTTAATTCTAGCCCCACATTGATCACCACCAAATAACATTTTTAACGTTTCTTCAACACCATCTTCAAAGTTAGGTTCGTTCTAATGTAATACACGACGATTAATACAATCTTGCAACGGAAATTGATTATGTTTATTCCAATTAGTTATCATTCCAAAATTAGTGCAAAAATGTATTACTGCATCAAAAAAGAAATTTTTTCCACTGTTTGGCTCTCCAAGAATAAACATAGTATTACATTTAGGTCGTCGTTTATCTAATATATCTAATAAATCTGACAAAAAATGTTGAATTTCAGAACTATCATTATCAAATTGAAAATTTAAAAGACATTCCATATATTTAATACTATCTTTTAAAGAATAATAATAAGTATCTTTTGCTTCACTAGCGAAATATAATTTTAATGGATCACAAGATAAATAATGCATCCATAAATCAGCAATACTTTTATCAACATAAAACACTTTCAATTCTTCAAATGTTATTTGAAAATATGTTTTACGTTTATCCATATAACAAAATGGACATTGTAACCATAATCGAGAAGTAAAAATTGCTTTTGGTGGTGCAAAAATAATACTTATAAAACTGTTACTACAAAATATTATGTTCCACAAACGAAAAAGTGAATGATAAATGTACAATAATACCACACACACGCGCGCGCGCGCAAAACCAATTTTAAGTATTAGTAAAAAACCAATTTTAATATCAGTAAAAAACGATTCCGCGCTATACGCGACACTTCTACATTGTCGATAAATATAATGAAATTTTTATGCAACATAGAGTATATGTACATATACATATATACACATACATATAAATATACGTATAAAATATAGATATAAAAAACTCGGATCCAAACATATACATAGGAAACT